ATGCCAGAATCTATCTTTATGTATTCTAGTTCATTTTTCACAACTTCCAGTTTGTTTACTAGACTATAAAATTATTTCGATCACATTAGATTTGGAAATATTAAAAAAGAAAACAAGAATACTCACCATTGGACCCAGAGGCATATTGTGATAGGTCGAGAAAAGATTGAAATTTTTTATGATTTCATTTTATTTGGGTCCTGAGTCAACACACAATGGTAGCACCAGTCATGAAATAAAAAAGCGCATATCAAGAGTCTCTTTGATATGCTATAGAGAAAGGATGTAAGTTAAAATACTAAGGTTCCAATCTATTGTTTATAGGATTCCTATAAATTGTGGTTAACCTGATGACGCCTAACAGCACCACACTTATAAGGTGGACATGAAACAATCTCAAACTTATATTTTGTCAGAATATATCTGGTAGGCTGTCCTTGAGAGGGCAATTTCTAGAATTCAATTTCATGAATTCTGCTGCTCTGACTAGCCTAATTTGGGTCCTGTGTCCACCCTGAGTCAGTCATTATCAGCAAAGGAGTATGGTACTGGGATTTCTTCAGCTAAAGTTACATGCCACCCATAAATACTCAAATGAAGTCATTTCCTCTGTAACCATCAGAACTGAGAAGGGGATATAAATTGATACCAAAGCATAATCCCGGTCTCTTTCTGGAAATAGAATAAATGAATGGTGAAATAAAGCTGTTTTCCTCTCTGGTTTTAAAGCAAGAGAATAATATGATCATATGTGTTTTATAGTTAGATTAGTAAGTGTCTGTGAGGAAACGGCAATGAAGGAAAACTCTGGAGGTGGGAAGAACAGTTAGAGAACTATTAGAGCAACTCATGAAGTGAATATAAGAAATGAAAATATACAACAGTGAGTGAGTGAAAATCCAACTTTCCTGTAAAAGTTCATTAAAATTACAAGTAAAAATAAATACTTTTATTTAAAAATATAAGTAATTGAAATAATAGAGTAGTTTTAGAATAATATCTTATTTTATTGATCCATTAGTTAATCTGACAAGTCATTTGAGTGTACAAGAATTATGATAGACTCTGGAATGCAATAAGAGGCAATACAGATACAGCTTTTGATTTTATAGTCATTAAGTATAGATAAGGATCTTTGGTGGCATAGCCCATAGGGAATTGGTACTGCTGACCTAAAGCCCCAACCTCACTGGCAGTTCAAATCCACCAACTTCTCTGCAGGAGAGTGATGGGAGGTCTTCTACATGTCATTTATAACGCCAGAAACCCAATAGAGTGTCAGCTATTAGTCTGTTGCAACTTGACGGCAATACATTTTAGTTCACTTTGATATTTTTTGGTTGTTTCTTTGTATGTTTTAACAGTCTAGATGTTGTTGTTGTTGTTGTTGTTGTTGTTGTTGTTGTTGTTATGTACCATCGAGTCACCTGCGACTCTTAGTGACCCTATGTACAACAGCTCTAAACCCTGTTCTATGGTGTGCCAATCTCATTGTCTCTGACACACAACTACTGCCATTACCCCAGGAACTGAATCAATACATCTCATTGAGGGTCTTCCTCTCCTGCGCTGTCCCTCCACCCTCCCAAGCATGACATCCCTCTCCAAGAACTGGTGCCTCCTCGCAACATGTCCAAAGTATGTCAAATAAAGCTTCAAAATCCTTGCCTCCAAGGAGCAGCCTAGAATCATCCTCTCTAGGACAAACCTGTTCATTGTCCATGGTATATTCAATACTCTTCTCCAACACCATAGCTCAAAGGCATCAATTCTCCTTCTATCATCCCTACTCATTGTCCAGCTCTCTGATAGATGGATACTGAAATAACTAGCAAATAAAATTCAATGTAATTGTATCACTGTACCACATTGTTTTGTTAATAGCTATTGAATTGGCCTCAACTTATCTCTAACACTACATTAAACAGCAATGTATTACCTGGGCTTGTACCACCTACACACATGATCATGGGTACATTAAATCTCCGTGTTGTGGTCACCATGCCTTTCAAACTAAGGGACTTAACTTTTAGCACTAGGTTGGACAATCAGAGGTTCCATAAGCACGTGCAAATCACACTGAATCCAGGCTCAGAGATTAGAGGAGTCTTTTCACTGCAGGTGCCTTTCAAGACAGGTCTGGGAAAGTGAGCAGATATTATCTAAGCAGAGGAAGTATAGATTTAGTGATAGAAATCTTTGGAAAGATGCAATTTCATGAACAAAGATTTAGAGGCAAAAGAGAGTTTTATATGTTAAAGTTGAAAGAGAAGTTCAATGTGACTGGAGCTTAGAGTGTGAAAGTGAATTAGTGACAACTGAATTTGGACAGAAGTAAAGAAGTAGGTTGTATCAAAGTGACTTTGAATTTTTTAAATGGCTCCTAAGTTCAGTGTGGTGCCCCAAATGAAAACGCATATACTAAAATAAGTAAAAGTGGAGTGGGATTGATGAGTTCTTCTTTTACTATTTAGAGTTTGCTGTTTTGTGGAATTAAAGTGGAGCCAGATGAAAGATAGCTGGGTGTGGGATTTGGAAACTTGAGTGAGGAATTTGGTAAGATACAAATATTTCTATTTCACCCAGCTATAAGGAGTATATTTGAGTCAGTTAGAACATGTGCAGAGAGTATATTGTGAATGAAGGAATAATCTGCGAATGGAACTTTCAACAGCACTACATTTCAAAGGAATGGTAGAGAATGTGTAGCACCACAAAGAGAAGGAAAAGGTAATAGGAGAAAAGGGATAGCCGAGAGACTTATGTTGAGTGTGGGCTGAATTTGCTAAGATCAGAGTAATAGTTGTCAATTAGGGAGGTATCCTTTAGAACATGAGGAGACATTCTAAGCAAGGGATGAGCCACCAAACATGAACAAAAGTGTAACTGGTTAAATGATACACATAGATTCATTTGTGCTCTGAGTGCTTGCTCTAGGTTTCTCCACCTAGACCCAGGAGAAATTATGACCATACACATAGTAGAAACATTGTTTATAAGCTTGCACATAGTAAGCGCTAGTTCAATTCATAGCTTAGTGAGAATCACACTTCAACTTTAAGAAAGTAAGAATCCTCAATTGAACCAACAATTGAGGCAATAAACAACATCATGACAAACACAGAAAAGATTGAGGTTATCAAGGGTTTCATTCTACCTGAATCCAAAATCAGTGCCCTCGGAAGCAACTGCCAAGAAGTAGAAAACATTGTGTTGGGTAAATCTACTGCAAAAGATCACTAGAAAGTGTTAAAAAGCAAATATGTCACTTTGAAAACTAAGATATAACTCACACAGCAATAATATTTTCTGTCACTTCATATGCGTGCAAAAATCTGGACTGTGAATAAGGAGGACCAAAAAAGAACAGATGCTTTTAAGTAATCATATTGGTGAGAAATATTAAATATACCATGAACAGCTATAAAGATAAACGATCAGGTTTGGAAAAAGTACAGCCAATTCATTATAACAGCAATGTCAAGGAAAAATTGTTTCCACATTCTTTGGACTTGATAGCAGAAGAAATCAGAGCCTAGAAAAAGATGTGCTTGGTAGAGTGGAGGGTCAATGAAAAAGAAGACCCTCGATGAGAGGGGATGACAACTGGGCTACAATAATGGGCTCAAACAAGAGCAAGGACTGTAAGGATGACGCAGGGAGTCAGAGCTGACAGCACCTCACAACAACACAATAATTCAATAATGGTGACAGATGGTCTTATGCACATATGCACATTTGTAGAACTACATTATGTATCTGTTTAATTATTTCAAGAAACAGAGAGGCAAAATAATCTCAGCTGTTAGGCCACACACTTTCTTTTTTTTTTTTTTTAAACATACATTTTAATCCCAGATATTTCGGCCTTCTCATTTTAACACTACCTCTTTAGTCACTGCGGCATTTTCTTCAGACTATGTTTAATGCTATATGTCCTCAAGGTTTGGTTGTTTTTATAAGAGTTGGCAGTATCAATTTTTTTTCAATTTCAAAATGACTTTTTATTATATCTTGCATGTCCACTTGACCTTTAGTGATCACAATTACTATTTCATGAGCACTATTTTTAAGTTCATGGGTCCTCTGCATCTAAATAAAAAAGTTCATTGTGAAATTGTGACCAGAGAGACTGAATTCCATGCCACAGTTGCCATGTATTGCTCCCTAGTCAACTGGATCATATGAATTTGTGGGTTTAAGACAACAGTAGAAATGATCTGCTCAAGTCCTATAATTTTATGATGAGAAATTCACAAGGTCTCTCTTTCTGAGCTCACAAAGGAAGGGCAAATCCTGGGCTTCACATTCCTAGACCTGCCTTTTGACTCTATTCAGTCACTCAGCTTCCTTCTGTCAAATTATCGTTTTTCATTAGTACTGCCTAACTTCTTTTTCTAATGAAGCAATAACAGATTAGCTTGTACTCAGAAGGCTGCTTCTGTATTATCTCTGTGGTGTTCCCTGTGAGGCTCTCCAAAGGCTGCAAAGATTCCAATCAAGCCTTCTCTTGACTCATGTTTAACTTTCAGATTGCTCCTGTGGAAAGCAAAATGCAACTAAAAAGGCAATTCCACAGCATTGTAGTTCATTCTTTAAAGCATTTTGCCCATGAGCCTACTTTGTATCTACTTTTAAGTTTACCATCTAATTCTTTTCAATGGTTCCCAAGGTCTCTGTAGGAAAAAAACTTCCTGTTCTTTTGATTGGGAGACAGCACTGCTGAAAATGCTCATCCCTATCCTAAACGTGACTTGCCACCTGGAAAGATCAAGTATCTTTCCAAGTTAAAAATTAATCATGTCTGTTTTCTGCATTCACTTCCTCTACACCTTCCATGGAGCTCCAAACCTATTAGGATCATGATCCTGTATGCCTTGCACTGTTACCTACTCCATGATGAGGGTCTGGGTTTCAGAGTCAGGCAGGATTAATTCCAGCTAGCTGCCCACCGGTCCTGACAGATACACCTCTAACATGACCTCCCTTCTGTGCTCTAGATTCTGGAAGACTTCCAAAAGCCTCGTTAGTCTCCATCACATTAGGCGGAGTGCTGATTGGCATCTTGGCAGCATTGACCTGGACAGTGATTTGCAGGTGGTAAGTTCCACGTTCTTCATCTATTACCTTGGACAGGAGGCAATTTTCTCTCCTGCAGGCAAGGCCATTAATGAGGCTTCTTTATCTCTCTGAAGCCAGTATAGATTATAGATATCGTGAACTCATGTGTCTCCTGAGCTATTTTGTACAACTTATTAGACATCCTAGTTCTTCCATTATGTTTTAAATAATGAAAGTGGAGCAATTATCAGTACACCTTAGTTTGTATCACAGATCTGTAGATGGTATCAGAGATTTGTAGATGGAGATTCAGAGACATTGAATACTTTTGTAAATTTAAATGTCTTTAGCTGAAATACTCTTTGGTTAGGAATTAAAATGTGCTGCAAAGGTTTCTGGGAAAAAGGGAAAAAAGTCTGTGGATAAAATTCTTATTCTTCAGGAGTATCCTCTTCTACGTAAAGATATATCATCCAGAAAGTAAAGCCTAAGCTATAATGTTAAATATGATGCTAGTGTTGAAACTATAGACTGCTAGGTGAATAAACAGGTTTGTCCTAGAGAGGCTCCCAGGCTGCTTCTTGGGGGCAAGGATTCTGAGCTTTGTCTGACATACTTTGGACATATTGCAAGGCAAGACTAGTCTTTGTAGAGGGACATCATGCTTGGGAAGGTGGAAGAACAGCTGAACAGAGGAAGACCCTCAGTGAGATGGATCGATTCAGTGACTGGGGTAATGGGGTATGTGTGTCAGAGACAATAAGGTTGGCACAGAATAAAGCAGGGTTCAGAGCTATTGTACCTAGGTTTGTTATGCAAGCGACTTGACGGCACATAACAACAGTGTTGAAACATTCAGACGCAAAATCTGACAGTTTATGACCTAAGATTCATTCCCTATTGGAAGGATTCACAGGATAGTTTTTCCCTTAAAGTGGTGAATACTAACTAGGGAAGGGGTGGGGAGACATCCCAACCCTGGTGGAGTAAATTCATTCTCCTTGATTTATCTTCCCTTGCAATTATAAAAAAGTAAATTCCTTGAACTTTGTTCAATGCTTTAATGCATGATTATTTTATTTTAAATAGAAGATGCTAAGGAAAACAGCAGCATAAACCCAAAGAATTGGTGTCTTTTTAAGTCTGATCCCCCTAGCCAACACCTGCAAAATATATATGCCACATTCATTTCTGCCTCCAGATTTTTGTTCAAGCAGTTAAACTCTACCTAAAATAGCACCCTCATTTTCACTTCCAAGTCAGAAATTGTTATTTCCTTCAAGATGCACTTTCGACCCATCATGCTTGCCATCTAGCCTGCAATTCTCTTTATCCTATGATTCTTCACCTACGCTTGTGAACTACATAACCTAAAGTTAAACTACAAGCTGTATTTGTTGTTCTTGGATTGCTTTTCTAATGGGATTATCATATTTCCAATAATAAGTTAAATTAAGCCTTATAAAATATTGTTCTGGGTAAAATGCTTGTCAGTCAGATGTTGTTCTAAAGCAGATCATCTAAATTAAGACAGACTAGGGAGAAGGATTGGCCATCTAATTCTGAAATGACAGGCCTTCGAAAACACTATGTACACTAGAGCAAATTTAGATATGGCACCAGAGGCTGAGCACTTCCACTGAGAAATGCAAAGGAGCAAGAACAGCAGCAAGCAGATACCAGGTATTGTAACGTGGAATGTGAGAAATATGTGTGTACGGAAAACGGATACTGTTAAGGAAGAATTGAAATGCATAAATATTGACATACTTCTCTTGGGGTTTTTGGTTGTGTTTTTTGTGTTGGGTTTTTTTTTTTGTTTATTTTTACATTTTATTGGGAAAAGTATGTTGGGGATACATGGAGGTGAGGGTTGGGAGCAAAAGGGTGAGGATGGGCAGGGACGAAAGTTGCAGAGATGCAGTTGCAAGGCTGCACAATTTTGTTGGGGTGGGGGAGGAGGTGAAGGAAATTAAAAGGATCCACTGGGGACCAGATGATTCAGAGCACTAGTAAGCATGGTCCAATGGTGATTAAACAAACTGCCTTATTCACTTGTGGGTTTCTCATTTGGAAATTGGAATTGGTTGCAGACTCTCTGGCTTCTTCATGCTGAACAGGGGTGTTGATGTGAAGGAGGAAAGGGAGCACACTTTATCCCCTTACTGGTGGTCTTGGGTTGAAGCTGCTTGCCTTCTTGTTCTGTTAGAAGATGTTTTCCTGACATTTGCTTCCCTCTGTACTGCAAAGCTGGGTCCAGAGGGGATGGCTGACTGAACCCTGATGCTCCATCCTCCTTTGTTTTCTTAACTGGCCGTTGTATTTCCTTTTTTTTTTTTTTTTTGTCTGGAACTGGGTTCAGGGTCAGGTCTGGAGTAAAACTCAGTGTTAAGGTTACCCATAGAAAAGGGAGAAATTCCAGAGAGAACAAACATGTGAGTTACAAATGGAAGGGCTTTGGGGGTGTTACTTACTGGTGTACTGGGGAGAGGGTGGAGGAAAGTAACTTCAATAAAATTCTCTGTATACCCTAGGCAGTTTTTTTCTACCCTGGGGTTGGATGGTAAATTCTGAGGGCTGAGGAGCTCACCCCAAGGGCCAGCTCGCCCCACCAGGGGCCGAACGCATGGCTCGCCCCGCTGCCCGCTGGTGGCTGAACAAACTGCCCACCCTGAGGGCCTGATGGCAACCCTCTTGGGCTGGGGGACACATCCCTGGGGCTGGTTGGCATCTTCCCCCAATTTCTCCCTCCCCAAGTCCAGACCCTGATCCTCACTGAAGACCATGTGGCCAGAGACAGCCGGTACTGCCACCATTATCCCCCAAACCCCGTCTAAACAGTCCTTGGAAAAGGCAGATAGCAGATCAAAAGATGTGATGCATTGAGGATATCTGCCATCTCAGACATGCTGCCACAGTTAAATATCCTTGAGTCATAGACAGCTCACAGATGCTCTCATTGAATCCATTGTACTAGTAATCTTCTTCTCTGGCCTACCGTACATCTCGGGTGAGGGGACCCCTGGGGTCTGGTGGTGGGAACCTCGTGTAGAAGGCCATGGTGGCCCTCCTCCACGTGGTCTGCTTCCGCAGCTCATCATGTTGTTGCTGCCACTGCTGCCGCCATCTTGGAATCTCCTCTCTTGTTTTTATGTGCTGCTGAGTCACCTGCAACTCATAGCAACCCTATGTACAACAGCCCTAAACTCTGCTCGGTCCTCTGCCAATTTTATTGTCTCTGACACACTTACCCCCTTTCTCCAGTCACTGAATCAATCCATCTCATCAAGAGTCTTCCTCTCCTGTGCTGTCCCTCCAGGCTCCCAAAATGATATCCTTCTCCAAGGACTGGTTCTACCTTGCAACATGTTCCAAGCATGTCAGACAAAGCTTCAGAATCCTTGAATCCCTCCTGGTCTCACACCCTCTAGGATGAACCTATTTGTTCTCCTAGCAGTCGATGGAATATTCATTACTCTTCTCCATCACCACAGCTCAAAGGCATCTGTCATCCCTAGTCATTGTCCAACTTTCTGATGCATAGCAAATAATTGCAAAGATTATGGCCTGGATCAGGTGCACCTTAGTCTACAGACTGACATCATTGCTCTTCATTACTTTGGAGAGGTCTCTGACAACAGACTTTCCTAGTGCAATTCTTCTTTTTATTTCCTGCCTGCTGATACCAAGAGTGTTGAATATGAAGCTAAGCAAACTAAAGCTGTTAACAATCTCTATCTCTTCACCATCAATCATGATACTGCCAATTGGCCCAGTGATGAGAATCTTTGTTTTCTTAATGTTGAGTTTCTACATACTAGGCATTAACAAAAGAAGATTCATTGGCATGGGACATTCTGAATCAGACAATTTCATGATCTATGATGCAAGAGGTGTAAGGGTGAGAAAAAAACAGGGTCACATTCATTATTTAAAAGACCATTTCCAGATCTATTTTGAAATGCAATGTTGAGAGTGATGGATAATATCCATACTCATACAAGGAAGTCTAGTGAATATCATTATCATTCAAATATATGTACCAACAACCAGAGCCAGGCAGGAGGAAATAAATTATTTTTGCAAACTTTTGCAATTTTTTTTAAGTTGCCATCAGGTTGTAGATGACTCATAGCTACCCTATGTATGAAAGACCTGAACACTTGTATAACTTTCTTCAATTCATCAAGTTTATAGGGTTTCCGGAGGCAAATTATTTCTAAAGTGGATGCCATTCCTGCTTCCAAGCTTGTTTTACTCAGGGAGCTCCACCAAACACTGTCCACCATGGGTAACCATTATCACATTTGACACATCAGTATCACAGTGTTCATCATCACAGCAACCACGAGTTACCTCTGTACAGCAAATGGACAGACCAATGCTATACCACTAGAAAAATGTTTGACAAAAAAAAATTAAAACCAGGCCTGAGGGCTGCAGATTAAAATCACTCACTTTTGGCTTGGTAGCATTACTTTTTGTCAACTAGGCCCACTGAGCTCTCTCTGTATTGTTGTTGTTAAGTGCCATCAAGTCATAGTGACTCTATCAACGAAAGTAGGAAAGCTATCAAACGTGCAACCAAGATGCATTAAGACTGATGATGGGTGACTGGAATGTGAAAATTGGGAACAAGGCAAAATGGTCAGTAATCTGACATTGACTAGATGACAGAAATGAGGCTGTGAAAACTAGGCAAGGTGCTTACTGTGGAACAACTACTCATACACAAGTGCAAACTGAAACTAAAGAAAATTAAATCAAATCCAAAGGAACCAAAATTTGCCCTTGAGTCTATCCCATCTGAAGTTAAAAACCATCTCAGGAACAAGTCTGAGCCATTGAATATGAATGAGCAAAGATTAAATAAGCTGTGGAAGGAAATCAAGGATATAATCCATGAAGAATACAAAAAATCATTACAAAGATGGAAGAGGAAGAAAAGATGAAGATGGATGTCTGAAAAAACTGCATATTGCATTAGAGTGTCAAGAACCAAAGCAAATGGAATAAACAATATATTAAGGAGCTGAAGAAAAG